AGCTGTTTAAAAACCAAACTAAAACGAAATTAAAAGCACAAATTTTTGTCGAATACTCAATGCCTGAAACTGGCACGAGACGAAGCGTTCAGAAGAAACTAAGCACCCATAGATAACCATTCAGATCATACATTCAACTCAGGGTGGTAAAGAACAAAATTTAGTTCCTGAAATTAACCAAAATTTAGTAACCTCATTTTTTGAAACAAAATTGAGTACACCAATCAAACTGTGTTAGCTTGACCAAATAAGTTCATAAGTAAATTTTGCGAGGGAGAGACTACTTTGTGTCAGCCGGATTACGGATTACCCGGATAACCTCTGGAGTATCTTCCGGATTACGTTGCGTTTTCTCTATAGGATTATCCCCGATCACCGTAAAATTTTCCCGGATTACCCTAAAATTTCCCCGGATTACCCTGGATTTTTTCGAATCTCCCCGGATTACACCTGCCGGATTACCTAATGGCTGTCAGCCGGATTACCTTGTTCGTTTCCCCCTCGAAATTTTGTTTATAGAAGCTTAAATTCCATGACCTTGAACCTTGCTTGTAGTGCGTCCGAAATATATTTAGTGGAAAAGGTTCGTATAAGAGGATGTACGAAGCTCCACAATTGTAGCGCATATTATTAAGATTCCCAATAAAAAGAGTGTTACCTGTTTTTGTCAAAGTTTCATACTTTTATGAGTTTTACAATTATCAAGTTTTACATAATTATTAATAGCAGCTTCTTTACACAATTTTCCTCGTTAACACATTTTTTGCCCTGTGAAATACTACTTGCGATTAGTTTCGCAATACAGATTAACAACCATAATTTGTTAAAAACAAACGTATGAAGAAGGAAAGAAGTTCCACAGACTCACTGATCTGATCGCGTGCCTCTTCGGCTGAGCAGCAGCAAAGGTGGCGAGGCGGTACAGCACAAGGGCCGTCCTGCCTAGGCAGGCCTCCTGCCTCCCGCACGCCTGCTCCGCCCATCAAGAGCTGTCCAAAGTAAGCTTTACCGGTAAGCGGCAGTCCCCCTCTCCTTTCGGTAAGCGTATAACCTTGATTGCTGCCTGGCATCCTGGCTCTTTCTCGCCACTGGGCCCTGAGAGAGAAGACCTGGTCGGTCAGCTACGGCAAAGATGGGGAGTGAAGGTTTTGCTCTATCCTGTCCTATCGGTATACTTTTCTTGACTAACCGCGTGGCCACTGTTGTCCCAAATATAACCGAAATGTTTTTTAAGGATAACGTGCGTTAATACAGTGAGGTTTGCCTCAACGTGCCGTTAATGAAACCGTGCGCCATGGATTTTAGCAATAAAAGATCTATTTTTTTTTTTTGTAAAAATGGGTCTAAACTTTGTTAGGTCTTTCAGTGTTAGGTCTAGAAAAAACATTAAGACACGACCCAAAGGGTTGGTGTGCGGGGGCGGGGGACGCGTATCCGGGCTTACTCCGAACTAACAGCGACGGCCTTCCTAGAAAGTAAAGTTTTACAAGATCGGAAATGAGGGCTTAATCCAATAGGAATTCCTGGCAGCGGCCGACATCGGGGCAGCAATTGGGTACCTACCATTTAGCAGCATCTTAGATCTGCCAAGGAGGAGAAACAAAAAACAAAACAAAAAAACAACAGAGGAGGAGGGATAAGGAAATGCAGAGCAAGCCAGTAGGAGAGAGCGAGAAAGAGGGAAAGATGTGGATAAAAGGTGGAGGTGGATGAGGGAGGAGAGAGATAGAGCAGGCCGGCTCAGGAGCAGATCAGTGCGGTTTCCCACGGACAAGATTCCTCTCCTCGATCTCTTGCCCTGTTCTCCCGCCCAGCCCCCCTTTTCCCCCGCCTTCTCTCTCTCTCTTACTCTCTCACACACACACACTTGTCTCTCTTCCAGCCTCCCAGTGGCGTACACATGGTAATAGCCGTGGAGCCGTAATCCGCAGACACTTAGTTTGCACAGTTTGCACGCGCGGTCAAGCGAGCCAATGATTCGCCGCCCGCCCACTACACCTTGCATTTAAAAAAATTGTTTGAAAAAAGACCTCCCCATATTATTTAAAATTTGGCACGGAACGTGTGCCGAAGCAGGATTTCTGAAACATACGTTCGCTGGGCCCAGTTAAAATCGCGTCACACAAAATATTAAAAGAATATTCCAGAATTACTTTATGGTGCGTTCTGGAACCTTAGAAAACTAGCCCGTACTCCTATTTTCACCGATGGGAGAGCCTTATCACCC